AAATGTGGTCTTGATGGTTAGTTTCACTTCATGCATGCTATAGAAAGTAGTAATGAATTAAGATGTTTAAATTGTATCTTTTAAGCACTTAATGGGCATGAAAAGTCATAAAGTTGGAAACTTTATGACTCTTGATGGTATTTTAGCCTTGGATCTACAACTAGACGTGTTAAGTCAGAGAAATTTTATATTTTAAGCACCTAAGAGAAGGGTTGTTGCGTACACTGGGCGTATCGTCGGGTATGTTTCACGTATGCAGATTTGGCCCCGATGCCTTGGATGCTAGTACAATCCGCATACCTCTAGAGTACGGCCCGCGTACCCGATCTGAGTCAACTCAGCTGAGTTGACTTGGCTGTGTTGACTCGTTGACTTGCTAATTTTTACCAGTTTTGACCAAGGGTATTTTGGGAAAATGTTATTAATTTAGAATGGAAATGTTTTGACATTTAGGTTTTAGGTTGAGCCAATATTTTTGAGCAATGTACTGATCAGCTATTCATCAGACTGTGAAGTGAGTTTTTGTCACTGTACTTATGAGTCGAAGGCACCAAGGCCAGCCCATTGGATTGATATCCTGGTTTTCTATATGTTTTTGTGCAGTAGTGACCTATTAGACCTGAATCCTAGTATATAGGATGTTGCTATGATGTAGTGATCTGTGAGATCTATAAGACTATCTGTATATGCTAGCTATTGATTGTTATGGTATATGTTATATATGTTGATATGTGATGGTGTATTGGGTTGAGGCAGTCCTGCTTTATGCTGAAGGCCAAGATTCCCAAGGCGTTCCGGATATACTGAAGGCATGCGAGGTGGACCAATCAGGCCGAAGGCCCAAAGAGTGGTCCAGATACGTTAAAGGCCCGATAAGGCGGTCCAGTCATGCTGAAGGCTATGTATGCATGTTGTTGTTTGTTACGTTTATGTGGTGGTACTTTGGGGGAACTCACTAAGCGTTGGCTTACAGTTTTAGTTTTATTTCAAGTACTTCAGAGGACCATGGCAAGGCGAAGGTGTGAACGTACACATCCTAGTTTTTATGTTGTCTACAATCATCATAGTTTCATACACACCATCACAAGGTAAATCTTCAAAATAAAAAACATCATTTTTATAAGCAGAAATAGAACCATTCTCATCATTAAAAGAGTATCTAAAACCTTGTTTAAACAATGCATGAAAGGAAATAGTGTTTTGTGTCAGTTGTGACAAGTAGCAACAATTTTTTAAATCTAATCCTAACCTACTACTAAGCACTAAGCCATAAATTCCAATCTTTGTGACAGGTGAATATCGCCTATTCCTGATGATTAAGTTCATTCTTTCGTGCTCCACATCCTCACTTCTTTTTAGCCCCTGCAAATCAGAACAAATGTAAAATCCACATCCTGTATCAAGGACCCAAGAGTGAGAGCATGATGAGTTATTAGATAAGATAGTGTAAATACCTTCTGAGGTTGGCTTCCCCTTGTCATATTTGATATCTTGCAAAAATTTTGGGCAGCTTCTTTTCCAATGCCCTTTGTCATTGCAGTAGAAGCAAGTGGCCTCTTTGGGGTCAGAGACAGGGGGCATCATAACTAGAGTTTTATTTGGGTCCATTGCTTGACGGCCCAATTTGGGACTTTCCCTTCCAACTTTTCTTAAGAGGACTTTTCCTCTTTTTCCATTTCCTTTGACCTATGGCCAAAACTGGAGTAACAGCAAGAGTGGAGGAAACACTTTTTCCCTTCATTCTTGCTTCAACTATTCACAGGATGTTGTGCAATTGAGACAAAGTAGTTTCATTGTTTTTCAAATGATAGGTCAAATTGAACTGATCATAACAACTTGGCAAGGAGTTCAACACTATGTCGATTGCCAACTCTTCATCAAAATTCACATTAAGCTTGACAAGCATGTCCACGTATCATCGCATTCTCTGAATGTAGCTGCTAACAGACTCTCCCTCTTTCATATACATATAGTAATAATTAAACATTTAATTCTACATATAGCGATTCGACTGACTTATTCTTATACGTATAGTAATAATTAAACATTTAATTCTACATATAGTATAAGGTGTTTTTTTACAACTTTTCCAAAAATACTAGTTTATATTTTAAATTTCAAAAATTAAACAATTAATTTGAATTTAAAATTAAACCAAATAATATTTGACATTAATTATTAAGTTTAATTAATATCCAAATTAATTATTTATACACTTAAAAGTTGATCATATTAATCAACAAATAATTAATCAAGTCAATGACTTATCTCCTAACTTCTAGGCTTTTATTTTATCATGATATATTTAGTAAAATCGGATTTGGCAAGTAAATATAGCAGATAATTATCACATATAAGCATATTAGGCAGATAAGCATCGAAAATTCGGATTTGACCGAGCTCACGTCGTGAGCAGCGATTTTTCGAAAAAATTAGTTTCTTTGATTTGATCAATTCACCAATGTGCAAATACATGAAAGATAGCCATAAGGCTCTAATACCACTAATGGAAAATGTAGGTTACAAAATTTTATGCACTAAGCGGAAAAACATTTAACAATTAAATGATTAGGGCACATGCAACCTTTTGAGGATCTATGTCTTCCATGTAAAGGCAACATACTATGAACTATCATCCTACAAAACTTTTGTATATGAGATCTAATTCATAAGGATGAAAACTTACCTTGATGATTGTTGTAGCAAACAATCTTGAATTCCTTCTTCAAAGCTTTTGGTAGCAAGTACCAAAAATGTCATGCCTCTAGTGGTTCACACCCACCGTAGGCAAGAACGATATTGAGGAGAGGGGATGAAGAGGATCAGAATTTTGACCTATGCTTTCTAAGGTATGATTAAGCCAAAAATCATATCCCCATGGGTCTTTATATAGGGCGGTCGGGAAACCCTAAATAAGCCAAAACCCAATATAATAATATTATCTTTAACTGGGTAATTATCCAGCTTCCTAATTATCCACCAAGGATAATTCTAGAAATCCTAAGGCTCCTTAAAACCGTCCATAGCCTCATGGAGGGTTCTAGAATGCCTCTTGTTCAACTATGGAACAATTGCACTTCATTCTCTACACTTTCAATTAATTCTTTTAATCACCAAATTAATTCCAATTCATTTCTGATTGAATATTAATTAAATATTACTATTTCAAATTAATATATTATTTCCACAATATATTAACAAATCATTTATTTCAATCAAATAATAAATCATTCTTTCTCTCCAAAATATATTATCCATTGCGAGGTTTAAGGACAACTTAAAAGGATTATTACCATCAATTCAAGTTTATGTCAATTATAATTATGGACTTAGACACCTAATACAACAACTTTCACTTCTATTTCTCTAAACTTTTAAATTTACTTTATTTTTTTTTTCTTCCTAAACCAATGTATGTAAAAGTACAATGATATTATTTTGGTAGAAATTTTTAAAATTTTACTTTCTTTTATGTTAAAACTCGTGTAATGCATAGTTTAAGACTTAAAAATAGCATAAATAATACATAGTAAGTAATTTCCTATACAAGTTGATTAAGAGAAAATTTTAAATTAGAATGAGTAACATTAAATATTAATACCATGATAATTTTTTAATAAGATTTAACTAAAATTGGAAGTAACTAGATACTATGTCTTTGTCTTGTAATTAAGGACAATTTCATAGTACAATCACAAGCATAAGAATACAAAAGACCAAGCTTGTGTGTGCTATGGATTGAACCAATGATACGCATTGAAGGTTCGACTATTGACCGTGCTAGTAAACCCCCTTCTATTTTTTATGATATATCCGTACATAAAGTGTACAAATAAAATTAAATATTATAAACATTTAAAGTTTCAAATAAGTAACTCAAGAAATAGAGAGAGAAGTTTTTGCAGTGTTTTTTTTAATTTATAAGAAGGTATTATTTGGATCAAGTGTTTGCCTATTAAAATATATTTAAACGAAATGATAAATAAAAAAATAAAAAAATAATAAAATAATAAAATCTTTGATTTTGATACAAGACCAACAATCAAAATGATAACACTTCTAATAAAGAAAATGTTCTTTCATATAAAACTTATAAAAATTCAACATAGTAGAACAAATAATAAATAAGTTGGATGTGCATTATTGAAATAAGATAATATAATAGGATTCAAAATAATGGACTTAAAAGTTGTTGGAGTATTATTTTTTTTTTTATAAAGAGAGGCTTTCAATGAAATTTTACTTCCTCGTATTCTATGTTAACCACCTTGCATAACTCCTCCTCTCCATACCTCGTAGTCATTAGGTCCGCCATTCCTGGTTGTTTACCTTGATACCGGCATTTTTAGCAATATTAGAAATAAAAATGAGGGTAATAATATGTTTTGTATAAGTTAATTTCTTATTGCTACATTAAAACTTTAGCAGTTAATATACAAATTATCAAAATAGGACAAGGGTATAAAATAAAATCAAAAGTAGTTGAATGAAACTTGTTACTTTTTGGTGTAATAAATAGTGTAATACATGTAATTTAGTTTTACATATAAATATCTATGGCTAAGAAATATACCAATTAGTTTCCTCTTTTGACTGGATTTTTAAAATATAACCGGCCCCTTTAACACTTGATAACAACGAACTTTATATATATATAACTTGTTACGTAAAAAAACAAAAAACAAAAATAAAGGTATACAACGAATTAACATCCTTTGGCATAAACCATATAACTTTTCTATTTTTCAAAAGTGATTGCGGTTGAATCCTTAACTACAAATACTTATAACCATTAACCCTAGCAAATTATATAGAACCGAAACCATATACAAGTAAATCCAGAAATCTCCAAACACTTATCCCTTCCAAATTGCCATTTGGGTTTTCTTCGCTTCCTTTTGGGCCGAGTTAATTACCAAAATATCAAGCCACATGTTAACATGACTAAAAAACAAATTGTTGCACATACATTAACTCCAAAAATCCAAAATCTTTAAAACTCAATGTCTTCTCAAAACATAACTCTTCTCCAGCTTCACCAATTGCTCAAGTGTTACAAGAGACCACTTATCTTCAATCTGAGCATACACCTTCTGATTCAAAGAGTCTATAATCATACTAACTTTCCCAAATCCATAAACCTGATGTCCATCTTTCATTCTCCCCACTTTAGGTTTAAACATCAAATTATTTTGTTGTGCATGAACCTCAATAACCTCCTTCAAACTCATAACACCACCACCCATCTCCTCTGTCGCACACCCCTTTGCCACCTGTGCAGCCGCCTTCTGAGCCTCAAACTCCCTCAAACTTGACTGAATCACCTCCAGCCCTACAGCCGCTTGGTTCATCATATTCAGACCCAAATTAAGCCGATATCTTACATGCTCATTTGATAAAAGCTCAGATGGAATCAAATCCTTCCAACTCAAATACCACTTTCTCACTTCTTGAAAATCCGGCTTTGAACATAACCATTGATACAAAACCTCTTGCCATTTGTTAAAAAACACATCCATTATGTGAAGCATGTGATGAATCGGAATCACACAAGCCCAAATCCTCACCCAATAAAACTGGTCAAGCTTCTGATCCGCAGGGTTGACTTCGAATTCATGCATCACAGCCAATAATTTAGGAATGATGTATCGAACCATTATCTGTTCCCATCTTATTGGATCAAAAACCATCTTCCATGGCGATAAAATATAGTATGCTGACATGTCACTCGGATGCCACGCGTGCAGCACACTTTCTAGCCTGTTTTGTATCGTATGATATAAAGTCTCGAGCTTCGAGCCTAATAAAGGAAGCCATGGGTGGACCCACAAGTGTATAGGAATGGTTTCGCGACGTGGGTCCCACGAATCAACAGCAGATGTTAACTTAGGCATGACAATGTTGTCGAGTATGGTTTGAAGAACAGAGTGAGGCAGTAACTGTTCCCAAGAATCTAGGAACCTTAATAACGGCTCCGGGTCCCGCGCTTGCCAGGTGTCGGTGCCAGATAATCTAACAACAGCAGGGAACACAACCTCCATGAAAAGCGAATCAAATATCTCATCTTCTTCAAGAAGATCCTTCCATAACGACATAACATTTAACCCATGTGTTGGATTTTGGAGTGGGTCCCATCCCTGAAATTCCCTAATGAACAAAGGCAATGCGAAAGAGGAAGCGATAGTAGCCAAACTGAAAATCTTGTACTCATTGGGAAACCTTGTATGCAAGTCAACGAATGACGTGGCAAGAGATTCTAAAGTCGATGTTCCTAACAAGCGTAACCGTTCCATTACACTAACCATTTCTTCAATGGTGTCGAGTTGTTTCTTCTCAAGAGCAGCATTGTCTTTTAGCTTCTCTTTTTCGTTATGTAAAATGACAAATGTCTCCCTTTCGTTTCTCAAGTCCTGGAGGATTTTCTTTTTATCAAGTTTTGCCATGTCAAAGATTAGATTGATATTATGTTGGAGCTCCGGCATTGGCTTATTATCATTCTCTCTTAATTTTTCTTCAGAGTTTAAATTTTCCAAATTAGTCAACAAACGAACTTGTGGGCCCCTCATATTCTGAACTACATCAAGACCCTGTTCTTGTTTCTTCACGAAGAACTCATCTGCAGTTACGTACTCTTTTTCCTTCTTTTTTGAGCTACCTTGTTTCAGCAATGGCTTCTCTTTTTGTTGAATACCAGAAACCTTAATCTCATCAACTGATTCTTGCAATGTTGGAACATTAGCCGACTCTTTATAATGATTAAACCCCATTCCCATGTTCTTGGGGCGCAATTTGGCTTGAATTGGAGCAACGATCCCCTGTGCGTTCTTTCCTAAACCACCTCCTTTATATCCCATTTTCTCAAGCAACTTCGTACCAATTCCCTTTGTATGTTTTTCAAATGCACCGATATTATCTTCATCTTTTGCTTGTCGCTTTTTGAACAGATCATTCCTGCCTTTTTTCTCGATGGAGCCACCTTCTGAATCGGTGTCGGAGTCATCAGAAGCAAACATGTCGTAGAAGACCACATCATCTTTGCTTCGCGATCGGCGCCGTTTTGCCCTGCGCTCACCGGAGTAAAACTCTCCACCACCGAACCCGGAGGACTGTGTGACACTAATCATCATTTAAATCGTCGAGTTTCAACTTCAGGCGACCGGAGTGATAAAATCCCCCTTTGGTAGAGTGGAGAATTGAAATCAACTTTTGGAGCCTCGTTTCTGGGAAAATGGATATTTGAAAAGCTACTACCCTGATCCTTATATATATGAGAATCTAATCAAGAAAACGAAAATATCGATCTGGGAAGAAGGCGATATCATCGGAAGCTAAAACAAGAAATGGTAAAAATATGTAAATAAAGATATTTAAAGATACAAATACAGATATGTAAATATATCAACCGTGAGGTCCAAGTTTTAAGTGTATAAGTCGGCTTGGGCCTTACTTCAACGTGAAGACCAAGTAATAAGTTTTTACTAACTTTCGGCTTGTATAAGTATGTGTTTGAATATTCCCTAGCTTTATTGCAAATGAATAAATAAACACACAAAAAATTATGGTGTGTGTTTATAAAGATATTGAAAAAGCAATTTGTTTCTTTTCTTTTTCTTTTTCTTTTTCTTTTTCTTTTTCTTTTTCAGATTTCTTACCGTGAATGCATGCTTTTTCAATTACAAGTTTGAAGAAGAAAAAGAAAAAGAAATGAAACAAATTGCACAATAAGACGAATGATCAATTCGTAAATGATGATATAAAACAACAATACACTTACACTTACAGATTGTTTTCAAAATATGAAAATTCTTTTTGACCACTTATAAGACATCAACTAATATCTTTAAAATTACATTTGATATTAGGTATTAAAAGCTGCTCAACTAATATGTGAGTTTGACCCTAAAGAAATCACACAAGTATAAGCCATACATGTTTTATATATAATGGCAATTTTTGAGTGAAAATGATTAATGACTAGCCCCCTTTTAACACATGATAACCGAAACCAAGAACTTTCTATAAAACTAAAAACGAAATTGTTGCACATAACATAATGATTGAAATAAAAAATGTATAAATTAATTTCATAAACTCAACGCCTTCTCACAACAGAGTTCTTCTCCTGTGTCACCAATTGCTCAAGTGTCACAAGAGACCACCTATCATCAGTCTGAGCAAACACCTTCTGATTCAAAGAATCAATAATCACATTGACATTCCCAAATCCATAAACCTGATGTCCATCTTGCATTCTCCCCACTTTCGGCTTAAACAACAAATTATTATGCTGTGCATGAACCTCAATAACCTCCTTCAAACTCATATCACCACCACCACCCATCTCGTCCACCCGTCCCTTTGCCGCCTGTGCAGCCGCCGCCCTCTGAGCCTCAAACTGCCTCTGTTCACGCGCCTTCAAGTAACTTATATTCTCCCTCAGCCCTGGCTGAACCACCTCCAGCCCTTCTGCCGCCTGGTTCATCATATCCAAACCCATATTCAACCGATACCTCACATGCTCATTTGACAAAAGCTCAGCTGGAATCAAATCCTTCCACCCCAAATACCAATTTGTCACTTCTTGAAAATTCGGCTTTGAACATAACCACTGATACAAAACCTCTTGCCATTTGTTGAAAAACACATCCATTATATGAAGCATATGATGAATCGGAATCACAGAAGCCCAAGTCCTCACCCAGTAAAACTGGTCAAGCTTCTGATCTGCTGGGTTGACTTGAAACTCATGCATCACACCCAATAACTTAGGAACAATATACCTAACCATTATCTGTTCCCAGCTTGTTGGGTCAAAAACCGTCTTCCAAGGCGACAAAATATAGAACGCTGACATGTCACTCGGATGCCACGCGTGCAGAACACTTTCCAACCGATTCCTTATCGTATGATATAAACTCTCAAGCTTCGACCCCAACAACGGAAGCCATGGGTGGACCCACGAGTGTATCGGAATGGTTTCGCGACGTGGGTCCCACGAATCAACAGCAGAGGTTAACTTAGGCATGACAATGTTGTCGAGTATGGTTTGAAGAGCCGAGTGGGGGAGTAACTGTTCCCAGGAATCTAGGAATCTTAATAATGGTTCTGGGTCCCGCGCTTGCCACGTGTTAGTCCCGGAGATTCTGACAGCTGGAAACACGACCTCCATGAAAAGCTGAGTGTAAGGTGAATCGAAAATTTCGTCTCCTTCTAATAAATTTTTCCATACTGACATTGCGTTTAACCCGTGTGATGGGTTATGAAGTGGGTCCCATCCTTGGAATACCCTGATGAATAAAGGTAATGCGAGAGAGGATGCGATACTAGGTAAGCTGCAAATCTTGTATTCGTTTGGGAATCGTTTGTGTAAGTCGGTAAATGACGTGGCAAGGGAGTCTAAAGTTAATGTTCCTAACAAGCTTTCGTTGGTTAAATTGTCCATTATAGTAACTATTTCCTCCATGCTATCGAGTTGTTTCTTTTGAAGGGCAGCATCGTCTTTTAGCTTCTCTTTTTCTTTTTGTAAAGTGACAACTGTTTCCCTTTCGTTTCTTAATTGTTGGTCGATTTTTTGTATGTCAAGTTCGACTAAGTCAACGATTAGATTGAGATTATGTTGGAGCTCTGGCATTGGCTTATCGTTATCTCTTAGTTTTTCTTCAGCGTTTAAATTTTCTAAATTTGTCAACACGCGAACTTGTGGGCCCCGCATGTCGAACACTTTCTGGACTACATCGATTCCTTGTTCTTGTTTCTTCACCAATAGCTCCTCTGCAGTTACGTATTGTTTTTTCTTCTTTTTTGAGCTGCTTTGTTTCATCCATGGCTTCTCTTTTTGGAGAATCCCAGGAGTCTGAGGTAAAACCTTAATCTCATCAACTGAATCCTGCAATGTTGGAGCATTAGACGCCTCTTTATAATCATTAAACCCCATTCCCATGTTCTTGGGGCGTAACTTTGCTTCAATTGGAGCAACGATCCCCTGTGCATTCTTCCCTAAACCACCTCCTTTATACCCCATTTTTTCAAGCAATTTCATACCAATACCCTTTGTGTGCTTCTCAAACACACCAACATTGCCCTCATCTTTTGCTTCTCGTTTTCCCAAACCTGGTTTAGTTGACTTTTTGTTTAATCTGGACTTCTCAATTTCCTTTTCGCGCCTCTGAAGTGCACCTTCTTTGATCATTTTACCAAATGCTGTTGGAAGAAAGTCAATGGTGTTTTCGTTGACATCTTTGTTGTCATCATTGATGTTGTTTGAATTGAAACCGAGGCCTTGACCTAAACCTGGCATGCTGTCATCATCTTGATCTTGATCATCTTTTTGGTTCTCTTGTTTTGTGTTGCTATCGATCTCTTCATTTGGCATTACAATCCCACTTGATACAAAATTGAGCGGTTTAGTGAGATCTTGTTGTTTTTTGGATAAACCTTTCTTTCGTTTTTTCTTGGAGTTACCTTCAGAATCACTATCTGAGTCACCAGAAGCAAAGATACCATAGAGGACATCATCTTTGGTTTGATGACGTTTTTCTTTGCGTTTTCCATAGAATTCACTACCAATCCATTGGCCATCTTCATAGTCGTTTTCCATCCCAAATCTCTCCCTTTCCTGATCATCTTCCATGATTCCTCAGGAAAATAACCTGTAAAAAGATCCAAACAATTGAAATTTTTTTTGAAGAAGTATCTAGGTTACCAAAAACTGGATCATCAAACAAGAACTCAATAAAAAAAGCAAGAAATTTCACTTTTGGTTCCCAATCGAGGCAACTAAATGAACAAAGAATTATAAAACAACCACGCTTTTAGTTCAATGCAACCTAATCAAATTCAAATATTGTAAATTTGATCACTTCAATCTAAAATTGAAGAAAACGAAAAGGCATATGCCACCATCTAACAATTAGAAAAAACGTGAAGAAAGGGGAAACTCTTTCAAAAACTTTCAAATTATACAAACTGTTACTTCACCCTAGGAACTCCTCGAGAAGCTTTCAGATATGAAGAGTTGTACATGAAATTGAGGCACTGTTTGATGGTTTTGTCAATGTAATGTCACAGAAATATAAGATATCTCCTCAAAATTGTATGGGTGTACATATTAAGATTTGCAAATAGACATACCTTCTGAACAACGAATTTACGATGAATAGAAACAGACGATACGATGGAGTGGGATGAACAGGTGATTAATAAACAGCAGGATAGTGAAGCCGTGAACCAGATGGAGCGAGAGAGACGAAGAGAACGAGAGCCAGAGTTTTAATTTCGAATTGTGAACACAAGAACTGAGCCCTAATTTCATATTCTAAACACAAAAATTAAAGGGATCCCAAAATTAAATTATACTAAATAAATAATTATTAATAAAAATAAATATATAAAATATAAATATACACGTCTAAGATTTTTACATAATTAAAAAACATCAAGTTTTCTAAATTTAGTATTCGAATTCGTATAAAAAAATAGAGTAAATTACGCGAACGGTCCCTGTGGTTTAGTGTAAATTACACGCTTGGTCCCTAACTTATTTTTCTAACTCGGACTGTCCTCAACTTTTAATTATGTAACCCGCCTAGTCCCAATTCTCACATTCCGTCAATTGTTTCCGTTAGACACCCCACGTGCCTTGCACGTTGGGGGTATAAAAGTCTTTTCATATTTCCAACGATCTTCAAATACTAATTTTTCATTAGGATCGAACCTAATTTAGAGTTTCTTTCAATCTTCCATCGTTTGAAGCGGTTACACCTAATCTCCTTCAAATCAAGGATGGTTCAATGCGATTGTGGGCGTGCTGTTGTAATTCAGACTTCAACTACTAACAATAATCCAGGAAGACCCTTTTACGCATGTCCAATTAAGGTATGTTGTAGTTGAGAATTTTGTAATCGTAACCCTAGATGGGGATATCATTGTATGCGATTATAGGTATTGTAACCGTGGCTTTTAAAATTGACATGAACCACGTAAAGGATTTATTGCTTGGGTAGATGATGATGAAAAGGATCATGGTGACAGATTGACAATCTTCTGGCTTGTGAGGTTGAACAAGAAGCTGAAAAATGAAAATCTTTTCTTGAAAATATGTTTATTTATTAGTTGGGTATTGTTCTTGGTGATACTTGTTTACAAGTTGTAAGGTGGGGATGAGTTGTTATTGTAATGGTAAAGTCTTCTGTAATGGTTAGGTTGTAGCAATGTATGTGATGGTATCATTATCTGTAATTGTTAGGTTGTAGCAGTTAATGTGAAGGTATCATTTTCTATAATGGTTAAGTTGTCTATGTATTGTAATGCAGATGGTTAAGATTTTTAAGATCAATGAAAATGGTGTTTATGTATTGGTTAGGTTGTCTATGTATTGTAATGCAAATGTACTGTAATGGTTGTAGCAGTGTTGTATTGATTATGTTTTAAAGTGATGTATAAGCAGCATATTGACCATTAATTAGTACCAAACTATAACAGGGCAATGAGGGTGACATCATAAGAAGAATATAACAATCTAATTTAGTACCAAACTATTATGGAAAATATAAATGTAAAAATCAATATAAACCAAATTATTATCTACCCAATGGTGTATCATAAGAAGAAAACATTCCATTAATTAGTACCAAACTATTGCAGGGCAATGAGGGTGACAAACTAGTTCATCCAAAAGTGCCAACATATTGGCTAAAACAAGTATCAAAATACTGCCCTTATTACAAACTATTCATAAATAATGTACCAAAATATTAGCCTTATTACAAGCAGCAACATAACACAATCCATTCATATTTAAAGTAACAAAAGACTAGCCTTATTACAAACCATCAAGTGGTTGCCTTCCCTTTCCCTTTTCCTTTGACTTGTGATTGTCCACCACCCCCACCAATAATTGGTCTTTGCCCTTTGCAGGTTCTTGCATTGTGACTAACATTGTTACACTTCGTACATGTTACTGATCTATGGGCCCTCGATGTTGTGTTTCCTCTAACAAAGTCCTCCTTTTCCACAATTGATATTGTTCTCTTCTTCTTTGGTCTTCCTATGGGAACACGATGTTTTGGAGGCAACAGAGTTGTTGGTATAGCTGACTTCTCCCACATGGACCTTCCATTGATTGGACTAACCTTAAAAGAATACATCTCTTTCCAGCTTGATAACCAGTAACATGGATGCACAAATGATTCTGGGATTCCCACATCTTTGTCATTCCTCCCCATGTCCCAAATAGCAGCCACACCATGTTTGCGCGTAATTCCTGTTAATTCCCACCTTTTGCACGTGCAACTTTGTTGACCTACATCCACAATACACTGATCTTGCCATGGTCCAGCAACTTGATATTTTCCAGCACCACAAAATGTTGCAACATACTGTTCTGCCTTACTCTTTATCTTATCCAATATTGTTGTAGCTGTAGGAGTCAAAGGACCTACAACTTTCTGAATTTCCTTGTCAACTTTGACTATCTTCTTCATAATGTACTCTCTGATGAACTCAATGCAGTTAATAATTGGTGCATCACGACCATCTTCTATCTTGCTGTTGAATGCTTCACACAGGTTATTAGTTAGAGCATCACAATGTGCTCTCCCTGAACATAAACAAATTCTATGCCAGTATTCAATTTACCTTCTTTTAAAATTATTAAGTAGAGATCGAAAGTCATTATACCAGTAAAGTGGGAGCGAGCCCAACTTTGAGGAGGTATTTGTTTCAGCCACTCATAACCATTTTGTTAAGCTTCTTTAGTTTTTCCATTGCTTGATGAAAGTGTTGTACATTAGAGGTCGTGGCACATTCCCAAAGAAGATCCTTGAACACCTTTCCCCTCCAGTTATTTTTCATGTTGTCGTGTATGTGACGAAGACAATAGCGATGCTCTGCACATGGAAATAGTGTTGCAATTGCAGGCAACAAACCCTAGCAATAGTAACATGTTTGTATGTTAGTATAACTGCATCAATAGTATAAAATTATAAAACCTAGTTTGGATAGGTTCCAATAGCTTTTGCCTGTCACTCATAAACGTGAAATTGGAATTTGTTCCCAAACCTAAGCCATCACCCAAATTACTTAAAAACCAAGTCCAAGAATTCAATGTTTCTGATTCAACCACAACATAGGCTAAAGGATATATCCCATTATTACCATCCAATGCCTTTGATAAGAAACATAAATTACCAGAAAACATTGGTCAGTTAACACTACTTAAAATAAAGAACATACAATACAAAAAGAAATAAGATCTTACCACAACAGACAAAACTTGGCCTGGATATGGACCTTTCACGAAGGCTCCATCAAGTCCAAGAAAGTCCCTTCTTCCTACTGCAAAACCTCGCTTCAAAGCTCCAATGCAAACATAGATACGCTTGAATGTTCTTGTCTCAACAGTTGGATTCGCTTCACTTTCAACATCAAATTTAACCGTAGTATCTGGGTTACGTGCTTGTACCTCTAAAACATAATCCCTTAACAACCTGTATTGGCTGGCATAATCTCCTTGAACATGCTTTAAAGCTTGCTGCTTTTCCCTAAAAGTTTTCATATGCGAAATGTCCATCTGGTACTCACGTTGGAGTTGCTCTCGTAAAGCCCTAATAGGAATCTTTGGGTTTGTCTCAATAACTTGTACTATATGCTCTGAAAGGAACTTATAGTGACATGCTTTGACTTTCCTTGTTTGTAGACATCGATGCTCCTTCGTGTATGTCTTAACCATCCAATCTATGTCACGCTTCCACTTACTACAATATATAACCCATGGGCATTTCTCTTCTTCATTAGTAGCAAGATTTGGTATAGTGCCCTTACACACAAACCTAACCCTATTCTTATCATTTTTCTCTAATTGTATTTCCCTTCTTGTTCTTATGGAATGTAGTTTCACTTGTGTCTTAAAGTCCTTAGATGAACTGAAAGTTTGAAAAATGTAGAAGGTCTCACTAACCAAAGCTGCATCATTTTCATAAGCCCTCTGTATGGCCCTAATAGTTTTCCTTCGCTTACCATCATTTGCCTCATCTGATGAAGACCCAGACAACAAAACCTCTGTGTTGATCACTTCTAAGTCACCTTGTTGTGTATCTTCAGGTACATTACTTTCAGAAGAACCTCCAACCCATTCTACATCCTTGTCAATATTCATATGTAAATCTTTCATATCCACATCAACATCGTGTATGAGATTGTCCTCATCAATAAAAAAATCACTATCTTCACTCTCACTATCATCATCAAACTCATCATTTCCACTGCCATTGTTGTGTCCACTACCATCATAATCATCCTCATTCTCTACATTCATTTCAAATTCAATATGGTCGACCAAAGATGGTTCTTTGTCCAAATGACTATCATTCTTAACTTCTGTTAGGTCTGGAACACTCTCATGCTCAATTGGAGAGTCATTCCACTCCAAGAACAACTGTTTGGAGCAAGCTGGTGGCTCTTTAATTTCAACAATTTTAACCTTACTAAGGTTGGGGGACATAGAATAAGTATGTAAATTTGTTTTCCCATGCTCAATATATACATCTATTAGCTTATGGTTAGCAACAAATGTACCCAGATGATGAACATCCTGATCTGAACCCAAAGCAAATAACCCAAAATCCAAATTGCCAAATGGTCTCAGGAAATGATAATAGAGTAGTGTTTCGTCTGAATCAATATGCCCAAGTTCCTCCATCATCTCGTCAATGTCGTGAATGGCAAAGGTGTCAATGTCTAGTAAATCAACATAATTTTGCTTGCCTTTGATGTACTTTCTTCCAGGGAACTTTGTAAACTGTCCACCATGGTGTAATCGGACAGAGAATATCATCGGATGTCCGACTGTATATTCACGGAAAGATTGGTTAGTCACATTTTTCTTTTTAAGTTACTAACTGATTGAGGGAGTAAACACTTACCATATCTATGAGCAACGTCAATCTCGTCCATGGTAGCACGTATCCTCCAAGGCGCCATCGTCGTTTTCAAATGTAGGGTTCTTTCGATCAAGGGTTTTCAAGGGTTTTCAAAGGTTTTGTCTGTGAAGCTTGTGTCTGATCACGTTGATCAACGATACGTCCTTTTTTTTCTTGGCGGTATAACATTGGATATGTGAAAAGACTTTTATACCCCCAACGTGCAAGGCACGTGGGGTGTCTAACGGAAACAATTGACGGAATGTGAGAATAGGGACGTGGCGGGTTACATAATTAAAAGTTGAGGACAGTCCGAGTTAGAAAAATAAGTTAGGGACCAAGAGTGTAATTTACACTAAACCACAGGGACCATTCGCGTAATTTACTCAAAAAAATTATTAAAAAAAATGTAAAGTTTTCTACAATTCGAATAAAAAAACATGAATCCAAATTTGGAGTATACAAAGGAGATTGCCAATAAAACTTTAATTCTTTTGAGTTTTTACAATTTAACTTTTCGAGTAAATGTCCATGTTGCTCTGTCAAAATTATACTTTGATCTAAGATCAATGACAATAAGCAAGATGCAATACATGCAACTACTCTCTAACATTTTATCAATCTTAAAATCCAACTCACAATATTTTATTTGGTCCCTGTCTATACATAGTAATTGAAAAGTATTGTTTAACACTTATAAAACAATATAGCTCGTAGGCTTTGAGTTAATTATTAGTCGCAATAAATATTAAACTAAAACTTAGCAATAATAATGCTAGGTTTTGTCGAAGGAAAAAACAATTGTTAGAAGTAAAGCGTTGTTCGAATTTCGAGTCATCACTTTAACAAGTGAGTGCATAGTTACTTTCATCCTATACATAGATATGGGGTATTTAACATAAATTACATGCTATGTGTGCATATTATTTGTGTTCTTGATGCCTATGTTCTATGAACAAAATATACATGTTTTATTCGATTTAAATTGTATATGTATTTTATACTTATAATTATGATAGGTAAAGATGGGTAGATAAATGATGAGAAATAAAAAATGATATTGATGATGAGTGATGGAAGATGATGAACTATATGTTCACCAGATGTACCTTAAAACTCTGGTAGCTATGGACTTAAGGTCTTATGAATGAACGTTGACAGCTATAGATTTAGGGCTCTATAGATGATCATTGGCAATTATGGATTTAGTGCCTTACAAATAAACGTTGTTGTTGAGCGTGTCAAACCCAACAAATAAAGGGGTAAAATAACTCCTTAAACACTACTACTTCGTACTAGAAATGTAATACAAGGTAAGTAGGGTCGATCCACAGAGACACGGAACAAATGTTTATACCTTTTTGCGGAAGGTACAATAATGGTCACATAAATGGGGGATTGGTATGCAATGATTTAAACAAGAGGATAAAGCAATAAGTAAATGATCAATTAAATGAAACAAATTCAGGATTTGTGAGAACTCCAACTCTATGCAAGACAATTTAACAATGTGATTCCGAGGATGAAATGATATCTACTCAATGCCACCTAAGTTGGTACTTGAAAATGTTAACACGTTCTAACACTTCCCATTCACCAAGTTGTCAAATTCAAAACAAGCTCTTTGAAAATAACCTAACCTTCTAATTTATGTCTAAACAAGCTCTTAGATAGAAATCAAAAGGTTGCAATAAGATTCATGTGAATGTTCCCAACAACACACAATACTCCTCACAAGCTTGGGAGTGTAAGAGTATGTGAATAAGATTTACACTAAATTCATTCAGTGGAAATCAATTTAGTGTTTGTTACTTAGTTCAATTCACAAAACAATTACGGATTTTGCAATTTGATAACTTGAATGACCTAACCCTAATTCAAATGGCCAATAAGAATCACAATTAGAATCAAACATTAAATTGAAACAAAATCAAATTCACTAGGTAGGAATTAGAAGCAAACATCAAATCACATGATTGAAATCACAACTAAAAAGTCAAGACATGAAGTTGGAGAAACTAGGGTTCTAGCCACTCATGACTAGAACAAGATCACAAATCTAGAAAATGAAATTAAAGTTCTTACAAAATGAAATCAAATGTTCCCAAGTGTTAATCAACTTCAAAATCCTCAATAAATTCGCCTCCTCTACTCCAAAAGTCGACCCCCTAAGTAAAAAGTCGGTTCCCCCTAAGTAAAAAGCTGGTTCCCCCATTTAAGAATGGTGAAAAATTGCTTTAAAACCCACGTTTACGTTTACATGGCCCGCGTAAATTAACATTGTCATTTACACGGCCTGCGTAAACGCAAAAATATACTGCGCAGAAATCTACGTTTACACGGCCCGCGTAAACGCAAGGCTTCCATTTACACGGCCGTGTAAACGCCTGTAAAGCCAAAATCCTCATTTCTTTGATATCTTGCTCCTCGGTGTTCCGCAAGTCCTGAAATTTTGTCCGCAACTTTTATTTACCTCCTCCAACAATATCCTTCCTCCAAAAGTCCCTAAAATATCACAAAAGTATTTGAATGAAATTGCCTCATGAAAAATCCCGAAAAACATGCAAAATGCATGAGTTTAAGCCTATATGCAATGTACTTTTATAAAATAAAGCTACAAAATGGGTACATGAAATGCACCTAACAGTTGCCAGCTATGGATTTAGTGCCTAATAGATAACATCGACAACTATGGACTTAGTGTCTATTAGATAAACACTGACAGCGATGGACTTCGTGCCTATTCCTTAGGATAACCCTTAGGAATGAATGAATGAAGAATAGATGATTCTTAGGGTAGATCCTTTAGAATAAAGAAGACAATGGGGATGGGAAGTTGGGTTAATTGTTTGATGATTAAACATAATTATATTATTGTGGGTTGACAACGTTATGTACTCACCAGGTTACCCAACCTAACCCACTCAGTTTATTTGTATCGCAGGTATCGATGCGAAGCTACATTACATTGAGAGATTAAAAGAGATGTAAATCGTTAGTCTAAATGAATGTAAGGTCTGTTTATGCTGATGTTTCTGTATTGACAATGACATCCCAATGTTTTAACATAAACAAAATACATTTCTTCGGAAATGCTTTGATAATATATTTATCATGTTTTTTGGGAACAAATTGCACAATATTATCCTTTAAAATGGATACTCTGATTTTTAAATAAGCATAAATAAAAATTTTAAAATGATTGTGAATTTTGGGATTTCACATTGGACCTTTTGAGGATTTGGGCCATGAGTTGTTGGGTCAGATATGGGAAGGGTAAAATAGTATTTTTATCCATTGAAACGATAGAATATGAATTGGACCTTGGATTAAGGGAATTGCCTTAGTTATTGATTTCATTAGGGATAATTTAGATGTATTTTGTGTAAGGAGCTGGTAGTAGCAACGCGTACGCTTTGGTTATCTCTAGATTGAGGTGAGTCTCCTCACTGTACACTGGGTCGAAGGCACCAATGTTGGCCCACTAGGATATGATATGTGCTTGTTGTCTTTGTGACTCTTGTTGTATGTTTGTATGCATGTTTGTTATATATATATATATATATATATATATATATATATATATATATATATATACGTGGGGTGAAATAGACCCGTACGGTTGAGAAAATAATGACTGAGTTGAAATAGACTCTGGGGTTAAAATAGACTCGGTACAACCTTTAGCTGACATATGAGTTGAAATAGACTCATGGTGAAATAGACCTGGTATAATCTTTAGCTGCCATATGAGTTGAAATAGATTTAGAGTGAAATAGACCCGGTACAACCTTGAGCTGACATATATGTATGGTACGTGATATTTTGGGAACTCACTAAGCTTTGTGTTTACAGATTTATGGTTATGGTTTCAGGTATTTCCAGTTCGAAAGGGAAGGACCCGACTTGATCGCAGTGCATCCACCTATGTTTCCACACTTTATGATTTTGGGATTGTACTCTGATAACTATTTTTACTCTGATACTTTTGAATGGTTGATAAGAGTAAATGGTGTTTATGGGTTGAATTAAAAATGAAAATTTTACCTTATGATTTTTGGGACGTTACAAGTTGGTAACAAAGCCTTAGTTTGAGGGATTCAGGTACACTCTCGGGTGTAACTAAAATCAAACTATAGGATTGATAATCTTTTGAAAAAAAAAATTGAAAGATTTTTTTAAAGGTGTGATGCGTGCAATCAACCGAGCTCAAGTAAGTGATCCCAAGAATACCCATACATGTTGATATGATATATGTTATGAGAATTGCATGCCAGATTAGGGCTAATAACGTGCTCAAGATTTCATGTTAGAGAGATGTATTTGTATGTCTATTGCTTAAGCTTTTAGAATTGCATGCTAGTATGGATTTCAGATGATTGAGATAGAATAACCTGATTAGGTGATGTGATGGTTAGTTTTTCCGATGTTCGAATGTTGCATTCTTTGTGCTTTGTGAGACTCATACTAATGTGAGCTAATGTTGCATGACAATTTTTTCAAAAACGTAATTTAGTGGAATTAAAAAAAATCCATTTTATTTAATTTGATAAACCAAACATAAATTTTAGTAGAGTTCACATTTAAAATCCTCTTAATTCTTTTGAAATAAGCCAAGTAAATATTATCCTAGTTGTTAGAATTAGAATCCATGAAGGTGCACATAACCAAATAATATATGCCAAGTTGGGGGTGACCAATTCGGACGGTCTTCTTGTGTTTTTAACTAATATGATATTCGGATTAACAATTTTTTTATAATACGAAACAACAGAATATGATATCATGTGTTGCTTATTAACATGAAAATACTAAAATAAAACATGATAAAGACGATCAACATTAAAAAAAAGAAAAAAAAACCTTTAGTTTATTTAATTCATAATTAATCTTACAAAATACGGAAACAAAGAAACATTTTAATATCATATAACGACGTATCGAATTTTAAACACAAATACATTGTAATGGTATGTTTTTGACATTTATATATACGGTTTACACATAAATATGAATTCTTATATATATATATATATATATATATATATATATATATATATATATATATATATATATATATATATATATATATATATATATATTAAAGGAGGATACTTTTTAGGAATAGTAAACTTACGTGGCTTTTGGCAAGAATAGTACTCTGGTTATGTGTTTGTGTTCAAATCCATCTTTAGGTTATTTTATGTTAGTATCCATATTTTACGCGGACACGTGTTGGGAATACTTTAGGTTTCCCGGTCATTTTGTGTTCAAATCCGTCTTAAGGTGCAATTTTTGTTTTTTAAAACAAATATATAAAAAAAACAAACTTTTTACATCCTATAATGAAAATGAATATGTAAAAAATAGGAATTAATTTTTTTTTTTTACAGTCATTCTTAACCTGTCGCATTCGACCCCGCAACGCGGGGTTCCCCATCTAGTTCCAATTAACCTACACTCTAATAGTATTATGTTTCTTACATTTACATTTTAAAGGGAATATAACTTATCAACGTAATTAACTTTTCGGTATGTTCATATCTGGGTAATTATCTTTTTTTTTGTACATATATAGGTAACAAACTTTTTAGAAGTGTTCACATATAACCATTATGACCTGCTATAGCAGGTTAAATCCTAGATGTGAACGCTTTCAACAAGTTTGTTACCTAGATGTGTAAAAAAAAAATAGTTACCCAAATATGAACATAACGAAAAGTAAAAATTAAATTACATGAATGGTCCATGTGGTTTGGGGGAATTTGTGTATTTGGTCGCTAACTTATTTTTTTAACTTAAATGGTCCATAATGTTTATTTTTGTTGCGCGTTTGGTCCCCGTCTTACCTAAAAATACTATTGTGCCCTTATTAATTTATTTTATTTAATTAATTTTGTTATCTATGTATTTATTTTTTACATATTTAAAAAAATTAATAGACCACACATATTTGTATCTCCTCGGATGATCCCTACTATTTATTTTTTAATTAATTTAATTTTTTAACTCGGATGGTCCCTACTATTTAATTTTGTTACGAACTTGGTCTCTGTCTTACCTAAAAAGACTATTGTGCTCTTATTAATTTTTTTTAATTAATTGACTTGTTTATGTACTTATGCTTTATATGTTTAAGAAAAATTAGTAGATCCCATATATCTATATCTCCTCACCATCTCATCTTTCATCATTCTCAACTTCTATTTATTTTTCATCTTTAGTAATATCAACGCCTTCATCATCACTTCTTTTTTCGGTCCTTCAACTCCGTCGATTCAACACCACAACCCACTAAAGATGAAGAGACAGTAGGTTATGGTGTTGGTTCGCCAGAGTTGAAGTACCAAAAAAAAGGACGGTGAAGACGTCGATGTTACTAAAGATGGAAAAGAAATAGAAGATGAGGAGGATCAGAGATGAGATGGTGAATGGTAAGACTCAAATTAAATTTATCAAATGTGGTTTCAGTTACGGTGATGAGATACATATATATGGGGTATATTAATTTTTTTTATAAAAAATAAATACATAAATAAGAAAATTAATTAAAAAAATTAATAAGGGAAAAATAGTATTTTTAGATAAGACAGACACCAATCGCGTAACAAAAATAAACAGTAGGGATTATCCGAGTTAAAAAAAAATTAATTAAAAATAAATAATAGGGATCATCCGAGGAGATATAAATATGTGTGGTCTATTAATTTTTTCAAATATGTAAAAAATAAATACATAGATAAGAAAATTAATTAAAAAAATAAATTAATAAGGGCACAATAGTATTTTTAGGTGAGACGGGGACCAAACACGCAACAAATATAAACAGTAAGGATCATTTAAGTTAAAAAAATAAGTTAGCGACTAAAACCACAAATTCCCCCAAACCACAGGGACCATTCATGTAATTTAATTTTTAATTTTCGTTTTGTTCATATTTGGGTAACTATTTTTTTTGTACACATCTAGGTAACAAACTTGTCGAAAACGTTCACATTTAGGATTTAACCTGCTATAGCAGGTCATAATGATCATATGTGAACACTTTCAAAAAGTTTGTTAACTAGATATATAAAAAAAAAAGATAATTACCCAGATGTGAACATACCAAAAAATTAATTGCCTTGATAAATCATATTCCCCATTTTAAACAAATTCCAATTAACCTACACGCATAGGATATTTTTTTTAAACCGACTCCGTTACGCGATTATCCATTTTATTTTCGCGTTTTAGTTGGTATTTGATGCAGCTTGCCCCCACCAAAACTCAGAAGTAGTCGCATAATTGAAGTTTCCGATTTATTTTTAACCTCGACGACTACCGCCACTAACCTGCTTTGCGGATGATGGAAGAAAGAGGAGGAGAAGCCGCCGCCGCCGCCCCAACCACTACCACCACCACCACCGGCAACGAAGTTGAACATACTGGTGCCAGTAACATCAAGGTTCAAGTGTCTTATGGTTCCAACAATTTCGATGTCTTCGTCCTTCCCCAATCCACTTTCGGTATAATTCCTTACTTTCTTTCAAATTTCAGTTGTTTATATTACTTGTAACATGTCTGTATGTGTTTATGGTGATGTTAATCTATGTATACAACTTCAGTCTTCAAAATAGAACCGCGACTGGATGCTTACCGTGTTATATTGCCCTCCTTCCTCCAAACGTAATCCCCTTTTGATATTAGAGGTTTAAAGTAATGCTTTTTAGTTTTAAAATCCTAAAACATTTTCAGTTTGTAAAACCTAATTTATTTTTATAGTTTTAGTAGATTCATAGTAGTTTAATATATTTATCAAGTCTTTTGTTTGACTCATCTAGGTTCCGCGTTGATCTGTAACTTGTTTCACACTCAAAAGCAAAGTATGAACTTACTTTTTGCCAAATTAGGTCAACGTCGATGCTTAAATCATCATTTTTATAGCTTATTTTCTCCATTTCCCCAAATCGACATTCAATATGTTAGGATTTGACATGGGATTTTTTCTCCTCGACTTTCTTTTTTCCTTCGATGTCCCTCAAAAACGACAAACATATGAGAGTTATAGAAAAAGAATGATCTTCATTCCTGTAAGGAAGGTTTACCATTTAGCAAACATGACATTTTCGAAACTTATGTTATCACTTTCCAAAACCCTAAAAGACACTCAACATTTTCTGTTTTGGGAAAATTAACTGTATATGAGTATATCTTCATGATTCCTCTTTAAGTAGGCAAGTAAGATATCGTTTGGCTGTGCTTTTCTTTTAGAAACTTATTTATGGTTTTCAAATGTGTAATCTGTAAATGGAAGTGTTAGGTATTTATCAGTTTCGTTTTAACTTAATGAATCAATGAGAAAAATTGACATAATGGTTCATTCAAGTATTTTCTTATACTTATGAAATATGTTTATGTTAATGAAGGTGATTTGAAAAGGGAGATTGCAAAAGCAACTGGTTTAGAGCCTGAAGCTCAAAACTTGTTATTTAGAGGAAAAGAAAAAGATGAGAATGAAAGGTTGGATATGGCAGGAGTGAAGGACAATGCAAAGGTGATAGTAACTGAAAATTCACCTACCAAAGATAAAGATAAAGATAAAGATAAAGAAGAAGAAGAACATGAAGAAAAAGAAGAAGAGAATGTTGAAAAGGTTGAAGAAGAAGTGAAGGAGATATCAAAAGGGGTTGAGGCTGTTAGTTTAGTTAGAAAGGAAAATGATGAGTTTGCAGAACAGGTAATGATGAGGATGTGGAGGGCATTTTCGTCTTTTAATTGTATTTAAATTTAATAAAAACTGTATTGTAGGTGGGAAGCCTAGAGGCAGTGGTGTGTTCTGGGACTCAGGTTTCAGATAAAGATTTTCTATTTTTAACCGAGATGCTGATGAGGCAGCTGCTGAAACTTGATGGAATTGATGCTCAAGGAGAAGGGAGAATACAAAGAAAGTTGGAGGTTAGTTTTCTAATGCTACTATTGAGAAGAAGGGTATTTTGGTCATTTCACATTTAGTCAAATTATCGTATTGTGTAAAATTCCAGGTGCGACGCGTACAGGGCCTTGTGGAGACGTTGGATGATCTCAAGGTAAAAAACTCGAACCCAAACCCAAACCCAAACCCAAGTAGCAATGTTCCGGAAGCTTCTGCTACAAAGGCGACTCAAGAATGGGAAGTTTTTGAATAGTTACAGTCACCAGGGGAAGGTATTCGTTTTGAAGTGAAACCATTATTTTTGATGATGAATATAATTTTAAATTGGTTGGAATATTATATCAAATGAAAATATAGATTGCTTTATGTCCTATTTGTTTTTGTTTTTTTTTGGTTTTGTGTATGTGTTTTGGGAAGAAATATAAATATGATTGTGGGGTTTTCTTATTTCTTGATTTGACAAGAAATGAAAATGTGATTGAAAATTGATAATTTAAAAAAAATGACAGACAGATAGAACCGGCGCTTTCTTAGGTGAATAGGTGGCGTCTGTTTTCTTAGACGCTCTTCTGTATGCCGGAGGGTTGAAATTTTTACTGAAAACTGTTTTTAGAAGACCGAGAATCTAAAAAATTTTGTGTCGTATTATGTTATAACATCCACTTTTTTATAGTTTAAACTAATGTAATAAACCATAATTCATCAACACATTTGCTCAAGATAAAAACCCAGGAAAACTCTTTATTATAAACTAAAGTCAAATGAAAAACGTGAATAGAATTATATAGCAGAAGTCTTAAACTTTAAACCAAAATACTAAATGTAAAATGTCATAATATAGTAGTCTAAACTCTAAATTATAAATGTATGTACAACAACGGTCATGTCGTGCCCTTTCCTGTAACTATCCCGGAGGGTCCTGAAAAATATTAATAAACGGGTAACTATAAAGCTTAGTGAGCAAAGAAGACTATATATATTGTCATATGCACATATAAGCATGTAACTGATTCTTCTCATCCCTTTCAAGAGCAAGGCTTGTAAACTGATTCTCCTTGTCTCTTTCGAGAACGAGACTATAACTAGTTCCTATTGTCTCTTTCGAGAGTAAGGCTATAACTGATTCCCTTTGTCTCTTTCGAGAATAAGGCTGATACAACTACACATATAAACATAACGCACGAGCACATACCACATAGCATATAATAATATGTAGAGTCATGGCACTTACTTGATATGATAATGTCCGACAAAGCTGATGAAAAAAAGTTTAGGGGTGACTAAGTTCTGATTAACCTACACAGAATACCAATAGTCACTACTTTGGCCATATTCACACTCTCGTACTTGATAATACTTGTATAATATTTATTTTAGTTATATTTTGGTACACCGGTCTATTCATGGACCGAGTTACCCTTCCATTTGTTGGTGAGAGACTCTTATAGATACAATGTAAGAGAAAGGAACTGTAGTAAAATATTTTCACCTTCCCCTACAACCAATGTAAATAGCCATAATTTTTTTTAAATCAAATAAGATAAAGTTAATAAAGAAATTTTGATAGTATACCAACCCAAGCTGCCAATCGGAGAAAACAACCTCGATTCTTTGCATGCCATAATAATCTACACAAGCTTTCCGACAAGCAGTTGGTAAGCACCGTGATTCTTTTTTTGTTACAAAGTCACAAGTCCATATGATGTTCCATTCAAATTAATAGTAAAAGGACTTGAATCAACATAAATTAGAGTATAATAATATGAATCGACAAAAAAATACATGGATTTGATTTGTGAACATTGGAATCCAACCATCTCTTACTTTTATAGCATCTTACAAATTTAGTATAAAACAAACATCAAAATGAATTTTCAATAGTAAATGACCCTAAAATCCCCAAGACAAAAATACACCAAGAATTTTGAAAAAAACATTATTAACATGAGTACATGAGAGAGATGCATATTTAGTGGTAACGGGTGTGTAGCTGGAATAAAATCATAAAATACAAGAATGAAAGAAAGAGAAAGCAAGATTGTCGATAAGAAGGAATTGATGAAGAAACAAACCAATCAAATGAAAGAGAAATTGATCATAAAAAAAAATTACAAAACTGTTTATTCGGAAAAAAAAAAAAACGAACACAACGATAATGTAACGTCCCAAAAATAATAGTGATTTTTTTTTCTCATTTTTAGAGGAATAAAAGTAGTTTCTAAATAACCATGAGTCATCAAAACATTGTCTCATCAGAGTATCAAAACATAATCTCTCTCAAATCATAAGACTACTGGATGATGTGTACAATCATGCATTCACCATGTCTCCGTCCTCAAAAGTACCTGAAACATTTAAATTCACACCGTAACCCAAAGTTTAGTGAGTTTCCTAAAATACCGCACACAACAATACACATACAATGCATGTATACAAGGCCTACAACACGAGACTGGACCTCCATCTGAAGCCTACAACATCCAAGTCGAGTCGCTCCCATTTGGCCTAAATATAAACTAGACCACCCGGGTCTCTTGTCCTGCAACACACAGCTGAACCGCCTTAACCCAACTACAGTATATCGACATGTGTAAATAACAATAACAAGCAAACACAAGTATTGATAACAGATCTACCAGTCTAACAGATCACTACAACATATTAACATCCTAACATACAAATGATATACACTAAAATATAAAGTATAGTAAGAAAACTCACCTCACAAATGAAAACATAAATCCCTACAACTCGTCACATGCAATAAACCGATATCATACCCACCTAGATAAATAAGAGTAAATTCTCAATCTAAGACCTGAACCCTAAAGTGTGACCTCAATTCAAACTTAGTAAAAAAGTCAATGGTCAAAAATCAACAGTTGAGTCACCACGCCGTAGCCAACACAATGGCCATAACGTGGTGGCTAAATGCCAAAATAGTCACAAAATCCCTCGCTGCCACATTGTGGTAGCAATATTGCCACACTATGGTAACGTCCTGACCAACTTAATTCTTTACACTCTTAATCCTTATTTTCAGAGCTCCAAAGCTCAGATCTGGACCGATTAAGTCCATGCATGGATAAAGTTTCCAACTTTATTCCTTCTTTAACCTATAGAAGCCTAGATCTTAAACCCAAATTAAAAAAAGGGACGAAATGACCCTAGATAACTCATGCATGGTTGATTTATGATCAAGATACAAACTTTATGGGACCACAAGGTCCAAAAACTAGCATGTATCTCATCCAAAGTTCTGGAGTTGCTTCAACCTCCAAAGATTCATTTCCAAGAACACACACACATAGTTGACAGTGTGTCGCAACGGCTAACAAACAATTAATATAAATAAAAATGTTGCTCTAATTCACTAAGGGGTAGTACAGGAAAGCATATTGTCGAATCCACAGGGACATTTCCTAAGGTTTATGCCTCTCTTGCGTAAGGCACTCACTAAGTTGACATAAATTAAAATGGGGGGGGGGGGGGGGATTTGTTGACTGATTAAAACTCTATTTGATAGAAATGTATAAAATAAAGAAAACTCAATTTAAACTCTAAAATAAAATTCAAAAGATAAAAGCAATTTCAATTTCGCGGTGACTCTCCTAATCATGCAAATAACCTTCAACACGATTCTTGAACTGGTATTGAAAATCCTTAATAAGCTCTAACAATTTTCTTTTACTAAAATATTTAAACAAAACAAGCTTTTTGAATTAAACTTTACTTTTTACTAAATTAACCAAATAAGGTCTTAAATTAATTTAGAAAAGTAACATTAAGCAAAGTGTAAAATTCTCAGTAAATTACAATACTTCTCACAAGCTTGGAAGCGTAAAGACTTGTTTGATCAGTTTATATTAGAGTTAACCCTAACATAGAATTATTCCAATATTTGTTACTTTTACTGATTAATACAAACAATTACGGATTCAGACAAATCAGATAACTGGAATGATTTTTAAACAATTAAAGTGGCCAACAAAATCTGAATAAAAATCAAATGTTAAATTGAGTATAAAACTGATCAAACTAAATAGTAAAGACAGTCAATAATCGTGCCTAATGGTTACTTGCACAAAAAGTTGAGTCATTTGCGAAACCGAAATCTAAGGTTTTTAACCTGACATGGGTAAAAACAAGTTACAAGAAGTAAAAACGAGATCTAAATGACTAATCTTACTAAATGAAAGTAAAACTTGAACCGTGTTCATTAGATCTGTGTTTGGCACTTGAAAAGCTCTCAAAATCGCCTCTCAGTCGTTTGGGGTAACGAATTAGGTTAGTGGGATCTTTTTGGAGGCCTTTTATATGTCCAACAAAGAAAACACATGTAAATGCGATCATAGGTAGCCACATATGTGATCACATATTTTTATGAAAACGTGTGGCGGGCCAGTTTAATGAAGTACATTGCTATTCTGAGACTTTTTTGGCAACATGCGATCGCAAGTTGGGTTATATGCGATCGCATGGATTCCTTTTTTCTTCCACCTGAATTATTGACATGAAAAATCCTTGAAGCTCCTCTGCGACCAAACATGTGATCAAATTGCGATCACATGAACATCATATGCGATCGCTTGACCATCATATTTGATATCAACTTCATTATTTTGTCTTTTTTTTTTTCCGCAATTCTTCCCTCCAAGCTATTCTTGATCATTCCTCAACATCCTTCCTTAGTTTCATCTCCAAGTGAGCTCCAAAGCTTCCAATAATGCATCCCGAACTTACGTATTCATCCATGTGTTCCAAATGGCCCTGAAAATCATAATAATCGTGAGTAGTACGGGCATTATGCAAATATAATGGGAAACACACAATTTATAATAACATTAGGGAGATAGTTAGCTTTTTACATATAAATATCGAGGAAAACGTGCTAAAAGATGCATATAAAATGCATCTAACACATACACACACTAGGGATTCTCTCAAATGGATGCAGGCTGGAGTTGAGAGCAAACCCTAACCATAAAGTTGTTTAAATAAGGCTCGAGACCCGAATTCAGGGTTTCTCATGCTGTCGCCGCCATGCTTTGGCCATTGCATGACCACATAATGGTGATTAAAAACATACGTTCCTTGTAGATCTTAACGACGTCATGTTAAGCCTCATCTGATGGGTTTTGGTCATAAGACATCCTATGTGCTCATACAAACCCTAATGCTTAGATCTAGGTTTCTCTATTGTACATGCTTTGAATCCAAGACTATAAACCCTAATTCTAGCATTCAAGTAATCATATTAATATGTAA